GAAAGCGGGGAACCTCTGAGTCCCGGGGAGGGGGGTCGGGCAGCAGCCCTGGGTGTGGGCCAGCTGCGGTGCCTGCAGGCCAAGGAGGTGGGCTCTGCGGGCGGCCCGACCTCAGCCTTTCCCGCCGGAGACAAACTCTGCGGCTCTGGAAACAAACCAACAGCCCACAGAGCTGGCGCCCCCGCAACGTGACCGTGACCGCGAGCCGCTCCAGGAACCCGACACCAGGAGGCGGCCGGCTCTTCACCGGAGCATAAGGCTGCGGTTTCCAGGTGAGCGTCCGTGCCGTCTGCCTCGTCCTTCTGCTTGTGGGTCTTCGTTCCTTGTGCCTGCGCTCTGCTTTCTAATTCTCCCCCAGGACATGCTGCGAGGGGTGGGGGGGGAACATTGATGTGAGAGAGAGACCGTGGGTCTGTTGCCTCCTGCATGCATCCTGACCGGGGACCAAACCAGTGACTGGCCTTTTGGTGCATAGACGACGCTCTGGGCACACTGGCCGGGGCTCTCGCCTTTAAGATCTGTTCCTATAACATAACGGAAAATGGACAACTTCCCACATCAGGACATAACCATCTACTTTTTGTTGCTGTTGATCCTCACCTAAGGGTATTTTTCCATTGATTTTTTAGAGAGAGTGGAAGGGAGGGAGGGAGGGAGGGAACAGAAGAGACACACATAGATCGGTTGCCTTCTGGGGATCAAACCTGCATCCCAGGTACATGCCCTTGACTGGGAATTGAACCCATGACCGTTTGGTGCGTGGGTGACACTCCAACCACTGAGAACACTGGCCAGGACTCAAGTGCCTTTTTAAAAATATATATTTTTATTGATTTCAGAGAGGAAGGGAGAGGGAGAGAAGATAGAAACATCAATGAGGAGAGTCATGGATCGGCTGCGTCCTGCACGCCCCCTACTGGACATCGAGCCCACAACCCGGGCACGTGCCCTGACTGGAATTGAAGCCAGGACCCTTCAGTCTGCAGTCCCATGCTCTATCCACTTAGCCACACCAGCCAGGAGCTCAAGTGCCTTTTTTATGTTCATTGATCACTTGTATTTCAAATTCTGTGATGAACTAGATTTTTGCGTATTTGACGAGCGGGGAACCTGGCTAAGCCTGACTCGGGGTCCGGGTGCGTTTCCAGGGCCCAGGCCCCAGCGTCCCTGCCGCGGGCACCTGCCTGCTGCGGGCACCTGCTCCTGGAGCTCTTCCTCTCGAGTTCTCAGCCCCACAGGACCCCCTCATCCAGGGCTGGAGTCCGCCTTGCTCTGGGCCTCTCCCCAGGATGTCCTGGGCCCTGGCGTGAGGGTTTCCACGGCCCTGACCTTGTCTAGTATGTTCTGGAACGTGTTGGAGTGTCTCTGAGCCATCCCGGGCAAGGACAGACCAGATTTCCACAGATTTCTAAGTTAGTGTTGCCGACTTCTCTTAGAAACACACATCATTTCAGTTGCAGCATTTCTAGAAAATGTTTATTAATTGGTAACACGCATTCGGAGCGGCAAGTGCAGATTCTGGGAGGAGGAGGGTGGCCGGTGGGGAGTGGTGCCCACACAGCCCCTGGGTCAGGGGGTTATGAGGCCTGGCGACGACCTGCGGACTTGGGGGTGTGGGAGCCCAGGGCGCGGGGAGAGGGACACTGTCTTCATGGGCTGAGCTCCTGGCACCCGCAGATCGAGGCCAGAAGTCAGCGGCCCTGGGGCTCCCCCCGCCACCCCCGGGCTCCTGGCCTCCTCGCCAGTCCAGGGCAGGAATCTGCTGGAAGCCAGGTGTGGCCGTTCAGCCTCCTTAAACCTCGGAGGTGGCTCTCCCTCGTCTGCAGGCGCAGTGGGTTCCTGATGCTCGTCCCTGCGCCCACGGGGCGTGTGGCCATTGGGCCTCCACCGCCACGGGAAAGGAGGCTCCGGGCCTGGCTCTGCTGGAACCCCGCGGCACCTTTTCTGGGAATGGCTTCTCCCATAGCCCTCCGTCCCACCAGCCGTCTTCGCCAGAGGCTTCAGCCTGTGATTTCACGAGACAATGAGCACGGACTCCACCCCACATTCGGCGTCACTGGCACCGAGGAGGAGGAGCTTCTCGCCACAGGAGAACACAGACCAGGAAGACGCGGGACCCCGGGAGTCAGACCCCACGAGGACGAGGACGGGGACTGTCCTGAAGGCGCCTGTCACACACCTGCCTTCCACCCGCCTGCCCGCCCAGCTCAGCCCAGGCCGCTGAGGACTGTCCCGCCAGCCACCGCAGGAGGAGCCACCCCAGTCGGGGCTGCCAGCTTCGCCCCGTGTCCCCTTGGCTCGGTGCCATGCCGCCCTTCCCTTTGGATGTCCCATCCCCATCCTCTTTCCCTAAATAAATTCAATTTTTCTTTATCCATCAAAAAATAAACAAAACAAAAAACCACCACAGAGATGGACGCTGGCGGCTCAGACCCCGTGTTGGCGCCATGCCCGGCTCCCACAGCATCGACAGACGCTTGGGCCTCCCAACACTACCACCCACTCAAGCCTCTAAAGGGGGAACATTCAGAATGGAAGGGACTCCAGGTTTCGGCTGGTCTGGCCAGCGGGCAGCTCGCCCCAAAGGCAGTGTTGCCGTGTGGCCTCCATCAGAGCCGCCTCCTTGCCGAGCTGCCGGCTGTGGGCTCCTGGGGGCTGTGAAACGGGGCGGGGGTGGGGGTGGGGGTGGGGATGGGGGCATCTCCCAGGCTCTCTGCAGGGTGTGGCTATAAACCCTGCCCCTGCCCCTGAGCTCAGGCTGAGCTTACTGGGGAGGAAAACACGTTCCCTCTGCCCTCGTAGGTTCCGTCCCTGACCCGGGGGTTAGCCCGACGACGGACAGGTCCCCAGGGCGAGGCGCTGAGGTGATTGCTGTGCTGTGGGTGGTGACTTGGTGATGAGTGACTCACAGGGCCGGGCAGAATGGGGGCTTACTCCAAGGTCACAGCTGAGGGGGAACAAGTGACTTTTTGGAAAGATAAATGGTTTTCAGGCGAATGAACAGGTGAGAGAGTTTGGGAAGTCGTCTACAGGTCTGAGTGGGCTTCCATCTCCTTCAAGTCCGTAAAACTCCCTTGGAGAGTGTTCTGATCTCGTTTCCTGAGGCCTCATTTTCTTGCGTCTTCTTTTTAAAAAAATATATTTTTTATTGATCTCGGAGAGGAAGGGAGAGGGAGAGAGAGAGATAGAAACATCAATAATGAGAGAGACTCATTGACCAGCTGCCTCCTGCACGCCCCACACTGGGATTGAGCCCACAACCCGGGCATGTGCCCTGACTGGGAATCGAACCGTGACCTCCTGGTTCATGGGCTGACACTCAACCACTGAGCCACGCCGGCCAGGCTTCTTCTGTCTTCTGAATCTCAAATGTCTTCGGCTTAACCTGATCTTTTCCCCAAAGTGTCCTGTTTGGGTGGGTGTATTCTGATCCCCTCAACCTCCATCTGGGTCCTGAAGCAATTCTGGGCCTGACCAGCCCACAGACTCACATCCCGAGGGGCTATCTTAGGTCAGTCATGCGCCCCCAGGAGGAAGAAGCCAGAAATGCACATTCCCAGGCTGCCCTGCACCTGCTCAATCAGTCCTGTGGCCACAACCCTCTGGTGATTCCCGTCGACCCCAAAAGAGAGTCTGGGGGAGCCCTGGCCGGTGTGCTCAGTGGTTAGTCGGCCCGAGCACCAAAGGGTCTTGGGCTCAATTCCCAGTGAAGGGCGCGTACCTGGGTGGCAGGCTCAATCCCCAGGCCCTGCTAGGGCTTGTGCAGGAGGCAACCAATAGATGTGTCTCTCTTACATCAATGTTTCTCTCTCTCTCTCTCTCTCTCTCTCTCTCGCTCTTCTCTCTCCCCTTCCCTCACTCTCTTCCACTCTCTAAAAATCAATGGAAAAAATCCCCTCAGGCGAGGATTTTTTAAAAGTACAATAATCATATCACCACCAATAGGAATAAAAATAATGTTTGCCAAGTGATATAACCAAGTGGTACTTTTTACCTATCAGCTTGCTAGAGATTGAAGATAAACAGTTGTGTCTTTTAATTAAATATATTTTTATTTATTTCAGAGAGGAAGGGAGAGGGGGGAGATAGGAACTTCAATGAGAGCACCACTGATCGCTGCCTCCTGCATGCCCCTGCCATCTTTCCGAACGGAGACCTGCCCCCATGGAGCCCTCGCTCTGCCCTTCCCGCCCTCTCCCGCGGCCCCCAGCCCATCTCTGGGTCTGACTGGGTCCTCACTCCTGAGCGCACCCCACGGCACGCCTCCGCCCGGTGACTGGCCGAGCTCGGGAGCGCTGTCCGCGGACCACCCGCGTCAGGGCGGGCGTCGGGCTTGTCCTCGCTGGCCCTTCTCCCATGTCCTTCCCTGGCTGCCTGGCACGACCACCTGCTAAGCAGGACCCCAGAGTCCTTGCTGGCTCCTGTCTCCTTCACCCCCGCCCTCCCCACCCCCGGAGCTGGGCCCGCCGCCTCCCTCCCGGACTCGGCCGAAAGCAGCCGTGAAACAAGGCACGGGGACGACTCCTCCTCGCTGCCCCCTGCTCCTCACAGCACCTCACTGAGGGGCGAGGAGACAGGTCCCGGGGTGACAGCCTCGGTTCAACAGGTGCAGGGGGTCCCCTCTCCCAGGAGCCGAGACCGTGCAGGCCCCAGCCTGCCACCTGCCCCTGCCCCTGCCCCTCAGGGGCTCTGGGCACCACCCCTGCAGGCGCTGCAGGCGGCCCGGGTGAACCTGCCTGGTTGGCTGGCACCTGGAGCCTCTGAACCCTTAGTCCCTGTGACTGACGTGGTTTCAGGCACAAGGCCCTCAGGGGGCTACAGCTGGGGACCCAGGCTCCTTCAGGGGAGCCATCTGCAAGCCGGCACACCCGGGCTGTCCTGCCCTGACTCACAGCCACTGCCCGGCTCCACCCTCCTTTCCTGCCATCCCCGCCGCAAACCAGAACTGCTGGGCCCTGCGTGACTCACCTGAGCCCTCCAAGCCTTCCGGCGGCCGAGGGCAGCCACCCAGCAATGCCAGCTCATGAGATGTCTCCCAAGTGCCTAGAGCAGCGGTCGCCCACCGGAGGTCCGCGGGCCCGGAGGAGCCCTCCCCAAGGCCGGCAGGCTGGAGGGGGCTGCCAGTCGGTCAAGCATCAGTGAGAACGAGCAGCTTTGCCCACTCACGGTCCTTGGAGCAGGAGGAGCGGGAGGGTGTGGGACGGAGCCCCTGGTTTCCCAGGGGAGGGCGGGGGCGCGATGAGCGGCTGTTCTTGGGAAATGTGTGTGCTGCCCTGACCCCGAGGAGAGCCCCGCTGAGAAGGACTACAGCTCCCCTGCAAGAGTCAGAACCTCAGCATGGACCCCGTGCCATCAGAAGCTGGAGAAGACACGGGGGGGGGGGGGGCGAGGTCCGGGGGCCTGGGCAGTGAGAGGGCCGCCGGGAGTGGGTGACGGACCGTCTGCCAGGGCGGTGAGTCACCCTGCACAGTGCCGGCAGGTCCCCGCCCGCACACCTGCAGGTCCGGACGGGCGTGCCGTCTGTGCTGGGTGCTGACGGGCTGGCGGATGGAGTGTCGCCATGTGAATGGCACCCAGTGAGTTTCAGGTGTCGGGCCGGGCTAAGGATCCTCATAAGCACTACGAAACCCAATTGTCCTTATGAAACATTTTATTTTCTAACAATGTATTTTTATTGATTTCAGAGAGGAAGGGAGAGGGAGAGAAGATAGAAACATCACTGATGAGAGAGAACCATTGATCGGCTGCCTCCTGCACGCCCCTCACTGGGGATCGAGCCCGCAACCCGGGCCTGTGCCTTGCCTGGGAACTGAACCGCGACCTCCTGGTTCACATAGGACGATGCTCAACCATGGAGCCGCGCCGGCCGGGCATGAAGCAACATTTTTGATGTACACAGAGATGAATGCAGACGCTGAGAAATGCTGGGAGTATTTCAAGAAAGAAAATCTACCACCTCGCGGCCAGAGCTGCTTTTGATCGCAGGGAACCCTGTCATCAGAAGCATTTTTTTTAAACAGAAGAGCCCCAGACTGTTTCAACAATTCACGGCTGACTTAGGACAGCACCCGAGGCGATGTCAGGAACTGACCCTTCCTGGGAAGGCTGACTTCCCGTTCCCGAAGGCCCAGGGCGAATCCTGGTCCGGCCCGGTGACTGAGAACCACCCCCGTCCCCCCCTGCATTTCCTCTGTGGACCGCCCCCCCCCCCGCCCCCGCCATAACAGGTCCCTTGTTCATTCAACAAATTTTTCCTGAACTTCGCCAATGTCTGGGGCTGGGTGGGGTCCTGGGATGGGTGCCCGCGGCCCCGCCCTCCAGGAGGACACGCAGGTGGGGTGGCAGCGACCAGGTGGTTAGAACAGGACGTGCCAAGTGTCTGCAGGGCGAGGCGGGTCAGAAAGCTGTGAGAGTGAAGCCCCAAGGACACCGACCTGGGAGGGAGGGTGTCCCCAGCACGGGTGGGTGTCCTGGGCATGGGGTGGGTGTCACGGGGTATGGGGCGGGTGTCCCGGGGTATGGGGCGGGTGTCCCGGGGTATGGGGTGGGTGTCCCGGGGTATGGGGCGGGTGTCCCGGGGCATGGGGCGGGTGTCCCGGGGTATGGGGCGAATGTCCCGGGGTATGGGGTGGGTGTCCCGGGGTATGGG